CACACGCGCACCGCCACCGCCGTGTACCTGCTCTACCTGCTCAGCCTGCTGCAGCCCCCGCCCGGCTCCCCGGCCGCCGCGGTAAGGGGGCCGCGTCCCGATGACAAATAAAGAATTCATATAGATATAGATTATATAGATGATATAGATGGTATAGGTATAGGTATAGGTATAGATATATAGAGAGATAGATTAGAGATAGAGATAGAGATAGATAGATAGATATATAGATATAGAAGACAGAGATAGAGAGATAGAGATGATAGAGATAGATATAATTTCTAACTCTATTCTTCTCTCTTCCTCTCTATAAAAAAACAATTGAATAAAATAATACTATACATAGATGAGGGGGGCAATGTTAAAATATGTACACAGATAATAATTTAATAAAAAATAAAATAATACTATACGTAGATAGATAGATATAATTTCTAACTCTCTACCCCTCTCTCTTCCTCTCTGTAAAAAAATCAATAAAATATATTTTTTTAAAAATTAATTGAATAAAACAATACTACTATACATAATTTTTATTTATGTATTATATTTGTAAATTGTACTTATGTTGAAATTAATATATATATATATATATATATATATATATATATATATATATATATATATATATATATTACAGCCACACCGGTTTGGCTCAGTGGATAGAGCGTCGGCCAGCGGACTGAAAGGTCCCAGGTTCGATTCCGGTCAAGGGCATGGACCTTGGTTGCGGGCACATCCCCAGCGGGGGGTGTGCAGGAGGCAGCTGATGGATGATTCTCATAGATATTTCCAACTCTCCAGCCCTCTCTCTTCCTCTCTGTAAAAAAATCAATAAAATAATTATATATATATATATATATATATATATATATATATATATATCTCCATACTATTTTTTCATTCTATGAAAATTTTTGTTGCTCCATATAGACCAAATTTTTAACCAAGAACCCCCCACCCCCACCCCCACCCCACTCCCCGTCAGTGATGTCCCTCTTTACCGATGTTAACATCTGGTCACCTTAGGCGACGCCGACGCCCCAGCGCCCGCCCCACCCCACGGGGCTGTGCTCCCTGGCCGCCGAGGGGCTCTGGAGCCGGAAGATGCTCTTCGAGGAGCAGGACCTGCGGCGGCACGGCCTGGACGGCGCCGAGGTCTCCTCCTTCCTCAACGTGAGCCTGTTCCAGCGGGACATCCGCTGCGAGCGCCTCTACAGCTACATCCACCTGAGCTTCCAGGAGTTCTTCGCCGCCGTGCACTACGCGCTGGACGGCGCGGACCGGGCGGCCTGCGCCGCCGGCCCCGAGCGCGGCCTGGCCCGGCTGCTGGCCGCGTACGGGCTGTCGGAGCGCAGCGCCCTGGCCCTCCCCGTGCGCTTCCTGTTCGGGCTCCTGCACCGCGAGGCCAGGGGCTACCTGGAGACGGCCCTGGGCTGGAGGGTGGCGCCGGGCGTCCGGGCGCAGCTGCTGGACTGGATCGGCGCCCGGGCGCGGAGCGGGGGCCCCACGCTGCAGCAGGGCGCCCTGGAGCTGCTCGGCTGCCTCTACGAGATCCAGGAGGAGGACTTCATCCGCGCGGCCCTGAGCCACTTCCAGGTGGTCGTGGTGGGCAGCATGGCCACCAGGATGGAGCACGCGGTGGCCGCCTTCTGCCTCAGGCACTGCGCCAGCGCCCTGGTGCTGCACCTGCACGGGGCCGCCTACCGGGCGGAGGAGGAGGAGGAGGAGGAGGAGGAGGAGGAGGAGGAAGAGGAGGAGGAGGAGGAGGAGGAGGAGGAGGAGGAGGGGCACCAGGCGTCGGGGCCCCAGACGCCACCGGCACCATCGTAAGTACTCACTGCTGTGCCAGCCCAGGTCCTAACCAAGTTCATGTTCTCAGCTGGGGGTGGAGGGTGTGTGTGTGTGTGTGTGTGTGTGTGTGTGTGTGTGTGTGGGCCCCAGCCGCGGGCACCCTGGGCACCATCTGCAGAAATCCTTGGTGGCACTGACCCCGGGGTGATGGGAGGGCGCTGCCTGCATCGGGTGGGAAGAGGGCAGGGAGGCTGCAGGGCAGGGGGAGGCCAGCTATGGCCGGGATCCCCCTTTTCGTGGCCAGCACGGAAAAGATAGATGAACCGGCTCCAAGTGGAGGCTGCTGGGGATTGAGAAATGAAAGAAAGAAAGAAAGAAAGAAAGAAAGAAAGAAAGAAAGAAAGAAAGAAAGAAAGAAAGAAAGAAAAGAAAGAAAGAAAGAAGGAAAGAAAGGAAGAAAGAAAGAAAGGAAGGAAGGAAGGAAAGGAAGGGAGGGAAGGAGAGAGAGAGAGAAGGATAGAGAGGAGGGAGGAATGAAAAGAACGAAAGCCGAAACCGGTTTGTGTCAGGGGTATTGAGCGTCGGTCTGCGGACTGAAAGGTCCCAGGTTCGATTCCGGTCAAGGGCATGTACATTGGTTGCGGGCACATCCCCAGTAGGGGGTGTGCAAGAGACAGCTGGTCGATGTTTCTCTCTCATTGACGTTTCTAGCTCTCTGTCTCTCTCCCTTCCTCTCTGTGAAAAAAATCAATAAAATATATTAAAAAAAAAAAAAAAGTAGAATCCTTGAAAAAAAAAAAAAAGAAAGAAAGAAAGAAAGAGAGGGAGGGAGAAAGGGAGAAAGAGAGAGAGAGAAGGAAGGAAGGAAGGAAGGAAGGAAGGAAGGAAGGAAGGAAGGAAGGAAGGAAGGAAAGGAAGGAAGGAAAGGAAGAAAGGAAGGAAGGAAGGAAGACACGGAAGTAGAAACAAAGCTGGGAGCCGGGTGGGACCGCTATCCTCTCTGATGGAGGGGCAGGGACCCAGAGCCAACACAGCGTGTTTATTTATATTCCCCCAAATACCAGGGGGTGCCGAAACCGGATGGCTCAGTGGATAGAGCGTCAGCCTGCGGACTGAAAGGTTCCAGGTTTGATTCAGGTCAAGGAGCATGTACCTTGGTTGGGGGCGCATCCCGTCTGGGGGATGTGCAGGAGGCAGCTGATGGATGATTCTCTCTCATCGATGTTTCTGGCTCTCTATCCCTCTCCCTTCCTCTCTGTAAAAACTCAATAATATATATATATTTTTTTAAATAAAAATCAAAATAAACAAGCTTATTTAAAACAAGAATGCCGAAACCGGTTTGGCTGAGTGGATAGAGCGTCGGCCTGCGGACTGGAGGGTCCCGGGTTCGATTCCGGTCAAGGGCATGTACCTTGGTTGTGGGCGCATCCCGTGTGGGGGATGTGCAGGAGGCAGCTGATCGATGATTCTCTCGTCGATGTTTCTGGCTCTCTGTCCCTCTCTCTTCCTCTCTGTGAAAAATCAGTGAAATATATTTAAAAATAAAATAAAATAAAACAAACAAGAACAACAAAAGAAAGAAGCAGCTGCACTGACCTGTAGCTCCTCCCGCAGCCCGGAGAGAAACGTCCTGCCACACGCCTACAGCGAGCACCTGGCGGCGGCGCTGAGCACCAACCGGAACCTGATCGAGCTGGCTCTCTTCCGCAACGCCCTGGGCGGCCGGGGGGTGGCGCTGCTGTGCCAGGGGCTCAGGCACCCCAGCTGCAGACTCCAGAACCTGAGGTGAGTCCGGCAGGTCTGGGGGCTCCCGCTGGTCCCGCCACCCCTCGCCTGGGGCTCTGTCCGAAAAGCACCCAGGCCCTCGCTGGTGTGGCTCAGTGGATAGAATGCCGGCCTGCGGACTGAAGGGTCCCGGGTTCGATTCCGGTCAAGGGCACATGCCTGGGTTGCGGGCTCGGTCCCCAGTTGGGGGCGTGCAGGAGGCAGCTGATGGATGTTTCTCTCTCCGTGGATGGTTCTCTCTCTCCCTCTCCCCCTCTCCCTTCCTCTCTGATTAAAAAATAAGAATCCTCCTATCCAATAAAAGGGTAATATGCAGACTGACCAGCACTCCAACATAAGATGGCTGCCCCCATGTGGTTAAAGATCCTGCCCCCATGTGGACACAAGATGGCCACCACAAGATGGCCAGCAGGGGAGGGCAGTTGAGAGGCACCAGGTCTTCAAGGGAGGGCAGTTGGAGGTGATCAACCCTGCAGGGGAGGGCAGTTAGGGGTGACTAGACTGTCAGAGGAGGGAAGTTGGGGGCAAACAGGCTGGCAGGGGAGCAGTTAGACATCTATCAGGCTGGCAGGGGAGTGGTTAGGGGGTGATCAGGCTGGCAGGCAGAAGCTGTTAGGGGCAATCAGGAAAGCAGGCAGGCGAGCAGTTGGGAGCCAGCAGTCCTGGATTGTAAGAGGAGCCAGCAGTCCTGGATTGGGCCTAAGCAGGCAGTTGGACATCCCTCGAGGGGTCCCAGATTGGAGAGGGTGCAGGCTGGGCTGAGGGACACACACCCCCACCCCATGCACGAATTTCGTGCACCAGGCCTCTAGTAAATAAATAAATGAGACGCGGGGAGAGGAAGGACCAGGGACCAGCTCCATCCTCTCCCCTCCTTCCCCTCCAGGCTGAAGAGGTGCCGGGTGCCCAGCTCCGCCTGCCGGGACCTGGCCGCCGCGCTGACCGCCAACCGGCACCTGATGAGGATGGACCTGAGCGGCAACCCCCTGGGGCTGCCGGGCGTGCGGCTGCTGTGCGAGGGCCTGCGGCACCCCCAGTGCCGGCTGCAGATGCTGCAGTGAGTCCCCGGCCTGACACAGCTCCCCACACGCCCAGGGCCCCACGTCTCGCCTCGACGTGAGGGCCGCCCTCTGACCCCGCCCACCCTCACCACGTTCGCCCAGGGCCTGGGACCCCGGAGCTGTGGGCTGTGCAGTTCCCTGTCCGCGCAGAACACGTCACGTCTGACACCTCCGGTCACTGGGGAGCCTGGTGGTTTCCCCAGCCCCCTCCACCCCCCCACCTCCGACCCCATCCCCCACCCCCTGCCGCCATCGCCACCGCCACCGAGCAGTTCTGTCTCACCAGCCAGGTGTCCTGCACTTCCACTCACTTCTTTTTTTTAAAAAATATATGTTATTGATTTTTCACAGAGAGGAAGAGAGAGGGATAGAGAGTTAGAAACATCGATGAGAGAGAAACATCGATCAGCTGCCTCCTGAACATCCCCACTGGGGATGTGCCCACAACCAAGGCACATGCCCTTGACCGGAATCAAACCCAGGACCCCCCAGTCCTCAGGCCCACACTCTATCCACTGAGCCAAACCGGTTTCGGCTCTTTCTTTTATTATTATTATTTTTTATTAAGGTATTATATGTGTACATATCCTACCACTGCCCCACCCTCACCCCACTCCCATACATGCCCTCCCACCCCAAAGTTTTGCATTCATTGGTCATGCTTCTATGCATGCACAAGGTCTTCCGGTTGATCTCTCCTCTCCCCCAGCGGGATTTTTGTGGAGCCTCAGCCCCAGGCGTGCTCCATCATTGACTCCACCCCCAGCCTGCTACCCTCTCCAGAGGATGGGGGGATTCCAAGCCCCTCACCGAGGCCTGGTCCCCACCCCCCTCGGAGCCCACCTCAGGAGGACAAAGACCTGCTATCACCCCTAGGGGATTCCGAGGGACTGAGGGCCCGTCAGGACCGGGTCAAAGGCCACCCCAAGAACAAAAGCAGCCCTTATCACCCGGGAACTAAAGGGTCTGGGAGCTCCCAGCGGGAGCCAGGGACAGAGGCCGCGGCTAATGCCTTCGGCTGCCCCCTCCGGTTCCTCTGTGGACGGGGGAGCCTTCCCCAGCCGCACCCCCTGTTTGCACAGGGATGGTTTGGAGAAACATGAGCTCAGGTTGGCCGAGCATGGTCCATGGTCCATGGTCCTGGCCCCGCCCACACCCTCCTCCTCTGGTCACCCCCACACAGTGGTAGGTCAGCACTGTGATCATCCTTGCTTCATTTTAACTGTGTGTTCTTTTAATTTTGTTTAAATATATTTTATTGATTTTCCCCAGAGAGGAAGGAAGAGGGATAGAGAGATAGAAACATCGGTGAGAGAGAACCATCTATCAGCTGCCTCCTGCACACCCCCTGCCGGGGATGTGCCCACAACCAATGTACATGCCCTTGACCGGAATTGAACCCAGGACCCCTCAGTCTGCAGACAAACGCTCTATCCACTGAGCCAAACCGGTTTCGGCTGTTTTTTTAATTTTTAAAAAATATATATTTTATTGTTTTTTTACAGAGAGGAAGGGAGAGGGATAGAGAGCCAGAAACATCGATGAGGGAGAAACATCGATCAGCTGCCTCCTGCACACCCCCATCTGAGAATGTGCTGCAACCAAAGCACATGCCCTTGACCGGAATCGAACCCGGGACCTTTCAGTCCGCTGACGCTCTATCCACTGAGCCACACCAGTCCCGGCAATAAAATATATTTTTTTAAAAAGCGAGAGAAGCACGCCGGGGCCTCCCTCGCCAGCGTGTCTCTCTCCCCAGGCTGCGGAAGTGCCAGCTGGAGGCGGGGGCCGGCGGGGAGCTGGCCGCGGTGCTCAGCGCCAGCCGCCACCTGGCGGAGCTGGACCTGACGGGCAACGCGCTGGGGGACACGGGGCTGCAGCTGCTGTGCGGGGGCCTGCGGAGCCCGGCCTGCCGGCTGCGCATCCTGTGGTGAGTGTGCTGGGCCTCCTGGGTGGCCCTCTGCCTGCGGACGGTGGGTGGCTGCCCCGAGTTCGGGCAGCACTGTCTGCGGTGGCCAACTCCGATGTCCGTCAGGGGCGGGCGGAGAAACGAATAGAACGTGGGCTATCCACGCAATGGGATGTTATTCGGCCTGTAAAAAGGAATGAAATTATAGATATAGATATAGATATAGATATAGATATAGATATAGATATAGATATAGATATATATAAAAGCCTAAGCAACCATTATAAAAGTATTAATATTTGGTTGACCGGTTGCTATGATGCTCACTGACCACCAGGGGGCAGATGCTCAACCTAAGAGCTGTCCCTTGGTGGTCAGTGCGCTCCCACAGCCAACCTCTCACGGCCGGCCAACCTCCTGCAGTTCCTCCCCCTGGACTGGGCCAGGCAGCCCTGAATTCGTGCACTGGGCCTGTGTGTGTGTGTGTGTGTGTGTGTGTGTGTGTGTGTGTGTGTGTATACATTATGTATCTTTGCCCAGGCTGGTTTGGCCCAGTGGATACAGCGTCAATCTGTGGACTGAAAGGTCCTGGGTTCAAGTCCAGCCAAGAAGCTTATGACCAGGTTGTGGGCTCAGTCCCAAGGAGGGGCATGCAGGGGGCAGCTGACCAATGATTCTCTCTCATCATTGATGTTTCTGTCTGTCTCTCCCTCTCCCTTCCTCTCTGAAGTCAATACAAATTATATTTTAGCCCTAACCGGTTTGGCTCAGTAGATAGAGCGTCAGCCTGTGGACTGAAAGGTTCCAGGTTTGATTCCCATCAAGGGCATGTACCTTGGTTGTGGGCACATCCCCACTAGGAGGCGTGCAGGAGGCAGCTGATCGATGTTTCTAACTCTCTATCCTTCTCCCTTCCTCTCTGTAAAAAATAAATATATATATATATATATATAATATATAATATATATTTTATAAATTATTTATTTTATTTTTAAAATATATTTTATTGATTTTTTTTTTTTTTTTACAGAGAGAAAGGGAGAGGGATAGAGAGCCAGAAACATTGATGAGAGAGAAACATCTATCAGCTGCCTCCTGCACACCCCCTACTGGGGATGTGCCCGCAACCAAGGCACATGCCCCCGACCGAAATTGAACCAGGAACCCCTCAGTCCACAGGCCAATGCTCCATCCACTGAGCCAAACCAGCTAGGGCAATTTAAAAAAAGATTTTAATAAAACATATATAATTTAATTGATTTCAAAGAGGAAAGGAGAGAAAGAGAGAAAGAAACATCAACGATGAGAGAGAATCACTGATTGGCGAGCCTGCAACCCGGGCATGTGCCGCTGACTAGAATCGAACCCGGGACCCCTCAGTCCGCAGGCCGACGCTCTGTCCCCAGGGCCACACCGGCGGGGGCGGTAGCTGACCCTGGACGCCTGGTGGGCGGTTCTCGGCGCGTCTCCTCGGCCCACGCCCGCTGTGTGTGTCGCGCAGGTTGAAGATCTGTCACCTCACGGCGGCCGCCTGCGAAGACCTGGCCTCCGCCCTCCCGGAGGCCCAGAGCCTGGCGGAGCTGGACCTCGGCCTGAACGACCTGGGGGACCCCGGGGCGCTGCTGCTGTGCGAGGGCCTGCGGCACCCCCAGTGCAAACTGCAGACCCTGCGGTGAGCCCAGCCCGCTCCCCTCCGCGGGGTCCCCGTCCTCCGTCCTCGTCCTCCCAGCCCGGCCGGCTCCCCGGGGCCAGGCTCCCTCCCCCCTCTCCTAAACGCCAGCCCACCCGTCCCCTTCCACAGAGCTCGCTGCCCCAGGGCCTTTGCACCTGCTGCTCCTTCTCCCTGGAACTCCTTTCTGCTCCGCTGTCCCCTGATAACATCTGTTTTCTCCGTGAGGACTCACAATGAATGCTTCGTTCTCATGGACACTTCCCATAGCCCCACCTTTTAAAAATATACACGGATGATGATGATGGCCAGATGATGATGATGATCTCTGAACGCATAATAATCTGGCCACTCGGTGTATATATCCGTGGTTGGCATATATATTACTGATTTTTTTACAGAGAGAAAGGGAGAGGGATAGAGAGTTAGAAACATCAATGAAAGAGAAACATGGATCAGCTGCCTCCTGCACACCCCCTACGGGGGATGTGCCCGCAACCAAGGTACATGCCCTTGACCAGAATCGAACCTGGGACCCTTCAGTCTGCAGGCCGACACTCTATCCACTGAGCCAAACTGGTTTAGGCCATTAACACTCCCCCCCCCCCTTTTGAAAATGAGTGGCCAGATGATGATGATCTCTGAACGCATAATAATCTGGCCACTCAGTGTATATCCTATATCAGTGGTCGGCAAACTCATGAGTCCACAGAGCCAAATATCAACAGTACAACCATTGAAATTTCTTTTGAGAGTCAAATTTTTAAACTTAAACTTCTTCTAATGCCACTTCTTCAAAACAGACTCGCCCAGGCCGTGGTATTTTGTGTAAGAACCACCCTCAAGGAGCCAAAGAGCCGCATGTGGCTCGAGAGCTGCAGTTTGCCGACCACTGGGATAGAGCATCAGCCTGCAGACTGAAGCATCCCGGGTTCGATTCCGGTCAAGAGCATGTACCTTGGTTGCGGGCACATCTCCAGTGGGAGGTGTGCAGGAGGCGGCTGATGGATGTTTCTCTCTCATCGATGTTTCTAATTCTCTATCCCTCTCTTTTCCTCTCTGTAAAAAAATCAATAGGGATAGAGAGTTAGAAACATTGATGAGAGAAATATCCATCAGCTGCCTCCTGCACACACCCCACGCCCCGTACTGGAGATGTGCCCGCAACCAAGGTACATGTCCTTGACCGGAATCGAACCTGGAACCTTTCAGTCCTCAGGCTGACGCTCTATCTATTGAGCCACACTGCTTAGGGCAAAAGATGGTGTCTCTTTATCCTTTAACACTCTCCTCCTGTGTTCCTTCTTTTTCTGCCTTTCCTGCCTTTCCTCCCTCCCTCCCTCCCTCCTTCTCCTTCTCTCTCTTATACAAAAACCAACCAATGAGTGCATAAGGGGAACAACAAATACCTCTATATCTATCTATCTATCTATCTATCTATCATCTATCTCCCCTTCCTACCTGCCTGTCCCTCTTTTCCTCGCCCTCGCTGCTCTCTCAGCGGCCAGGTGAAGTCTCTCGGTGCCGTGAGCGCAGCGCCCGCCCGGCAGGCAGCTTTCCGGGCGGTGCCCCCGGCGGTGCCCCCGGAGGCGCCCACCCTGTGCCCGTGTCTTCCAGGCTCGGCATCTGCCGGCTGGGCCCCGCGGCCTGCGAGGGCCTGGCCGCCGCACTGCAGAGCAACCGCCACCTCCGAGAGCTGGACCTGAGCTTCAACGACCTGGGCGACCGGGGCCTCTGGTGGCTGTGCGAGGGGCTGCAGCAGCCGGCCTGCAGGCTGCAGAAGCTGTGGTGAGCCGGGGCGGGGCGGGGCGGGGGCGGGCAGGACGGCCCTGAGTGCCAGCGTCTGCTGGTCCTTCCTTTCTCCTTCTTTTCCTTTGTTTATATCTTTAAATATTTTTTTATTGATTTTTTACAGAGAGGAGGAGAGAGGGATAGAGAGCTAGAAATGTCGATGAGAGAGAAACATCGACCAGCTGCCTCCTGCACACCCCCTACTGGGGATGTGCCCGCAACCAATGTACATGCCCTTGACCGGAATCGAACCCGGGACCTTTCAGTCCGCAGACCGACGCTCTACCACTGAGCCAAACCGGCTTCGGCTTCCTTTGTTTATATTTTTAAATATTTTTTGTTGTTGTTGATTTCAGAGAGGAAGGGAGAGGAAGAAAGAGATAGAAACATCTATGATGAGAGAGAATCATCGATCGGCTGCCTCCTGCACCCACCCCACTGGCGACTGAGCCTGCAACCCGGGCCTGTGCCCTTGGCCGGAATCGAACCCGGGACCCTTCGGTCCTTAGGCCGACGCTCTATCCACTGAGCAAAACCAGCTAGGGCTTTTAAAATATCTTTGTATTGATTTCAGAGAGGAAAGGAGAGGGAGGGAGAGAGAGAGAGAAACATCGATGATGGGAGGGAATCATTGATCGGCTGCCTCCTTCACGCCCCCTACTGGGGATCAAGCCCACAACCCGGGCCTGTGCCCTTGACGGCAATGGAACCATGACCTACTGGTCCACAAGTTGATGCTCAACCACTGAGCCACGCTGGCTGGGCCCATTGGTAGCTTCTTGTATGTCCCTGATGCGGGATTGAACCCCAAACCTTGGCCTATTTGGAGGGAGGGAGGGGGCGCTCAAATCTACTAAGCTACCCAGCCAGGCCCCTTCATTGCCATCTGAACCTGGACTGCTTTGGTCCCACTCTGTCTTCTTATCAGCTAGTCCCCTAAACACTACACCCTGGCCCTAACTGGTGTGGCTCAGTGGATAGAGCATCCGCCTGCGGACTGAAGAGTCCCAGGTTCGATTCCGGTCAAGGGCATGGACCTTGGTTGCGGGCACATCCCCAGGGGGAGTATATAGGAGGCAGCTGGTCAATGTTTCTAACTCTCTATCCTTCTCCCTTCCTCTCTGTAAAAAATCAGTATATATTTAAAACCACACCCTGCCCTAGCCAGTTTGGCTCAGTGGATAGAGCATCAGCCTGTGGACTGAAGGGACTCGGGTTCGATTCCGGTCAAGGGCACAGGCCCGGGTTGTGGGCTCCATCCCCAGTGGGGGGCGTGCAGGCGGCAGCGATCCACGATTCTCTCTCATCATGGATGTTTCTCTCCTTCCCCCTTCCTCTCTGAAATCCATACAAATGTATGTTTTTAAAAAACGATACCGGCTCCCTGTGGAGAGAAGACTCAGGCCTCCGTCTCCGCAGGCTGGACAGCTGCGGCCTCACCGCCACAGCCTGCGGAGACCTGTCCGCCACGCTGGGCGTCAACCAGACGCTGCTGGAGCTCTACCTGACCCACAACGCGCTGGGCAGCGCGGGCGTGCGGCGCCTGTGCCGGCGGCTGCGGCACCCGGGCTGCCGGCTGCGGGTGCTCTGGTGAGCGGGGGCGGGGCGGGGCGGGGCGGGCTGCCGGCTGCGGGTGCTCTGGTGAGCGGGGCCGGGGCGGGGCGGGGCCGGGGGCGGGGCGGGGCCGGGGCGGGGCGGGCCCGGGGGCGGGGCGGGGGGGGGCGGGGCGGGGCGGGGCGGGGCGGGGCGGGGCGGGGGCGGGGGGGGGGCCGGGGCGGGGGGGGGCGGGCCCGGGGGCGGGAGGTGGGTGGGCAGGACCAGAGCATCGCTGAGCGGGATCCGGGTTCCATTCCCCAACGCAGGGGAGCAGGGGTGTGTGCTGGAGGCAGCTGATCAATAGTTCGCTCTCATCGTTGAGGTTTCTATCCCGTCCTCTCTGAAACCAATACAATTATATTTAAAACAGAAGAAAGAAGAGCCCGGGCCGGTTTGGCTCAGTGGGTAGCATGTTGGCCTGCGGACTGAAGGGTCCCAGGTTCGATTCCAGCCAAGGGCCCATGCCCAGGTTGTGGGCTCCATCCCCAGTAGGGGATCCAGGCCACACTCTGCCGGTCAGCCCCGCACTCTGACCAGCTGAGCCAGCGGCCAGACTGGAAGGGGATGGTTTCCATGGGCGGGAACCATGTTAGTTAGATCCGAGGTGGGGCCCAGTGCCCTGACCCGGTACCCCCTGTGCCCCCAGGCTGTTCGGGGTGCCCCTGTCCCCCAGGCTGTTCGGGGTGCCCCTGACCCGGTGTCCCCTGTCCCCCCAGGCTGTTCGGGGTGCCCCTGACCCGGTGTCCCTGTCCCCCCAGGCTGTTCGGGGTGCCCCTGAGCCCTGACCCGGTGCCCCCTGTCCCCCCAGGCTGTTTGGGGTGCCCCTGACCTGGTACCCCTGTCCCTCCAGGCTGTTCGGGGTGCCCCTGACCCGGTGCCCCTGTCCCCCCAGGCTGTTCGGGGTGCCCCTGACCCGGTGCTCCCTGTCCCCCCAGGCTGTTCGGGGTGCCCCTGACCCGGTGCCCCTGTCCCCCCAGGCTGTTCGGGGTGCCCCTGACCCGGTGCCCCCTGTCCCCCCAGGCTGTTCGGGGTGCCCCTGACCCGGTGCCCCCTGTCCCCCCAGGCTGTTCGGGGTGCCCCTGACCCGGTGCCCCCTGTCCCCCCAGGCTGTTCGGGGTGCCCCTGACCCGGTGCCCTCTGTCCCCCCAGGCTGTTCGGGGTGCCCCTGACCCGGTGCCCCCTGTCCCCCCAGGCTGTTCGGGGTGCCCCTGACCCGGTGCCCCTGTCCCCCCAGGCTGTTCGGGGTGCCCCTGACCCGGTGCCCCTGTCCCCTCAGGCTGTTCGGGGTGCCCCTGAGCTCGGCCACCCACAGAGAGCTGACCGCGCTCCGCTGGACCCGGCCCTCCCTGGACCTCGGCTGCTGACCGCGGTCCCTGCCCGGGCGTCCACACGGCCAGACTGTGTGTGTGTGTGTGTGTGTCCCCGAGAGACCCCGCGGGCAGAGCAGCGGGTGGTGCTCGGAGGGGAGGGCAGGGGGCTCTGGGTGTGGGGGTGTGGGCCCCGCCAGGAGGGGGGTGATGCCGCCACCCCCACCCTATCCCCCGGGGACGCTGGGCAGTGTCAGGAGGCCTCCCAATAGGAGGAAGCCAGGCGCTGCACCCACACCCGCCATCCACCGGCAGCCCCCCACACGGTGGAGCTGAACATGGGCCATGTGGCTCAATGGGCGGGACACGGGCAGCCTCACGGGCTCCCGGACGGGTCCCAGTTTGGGGCATGCACTGAGGCTTGGGGTGTCCTTCCCGCGTGCGCGTGAGGCCCAGAGGCGATGGGTGGACGTTTCCCTCAAACCAACTGGGACAATGAGGGGGAGGGAGGCCGGGCCCGGGTGGCTCAGTGGTGGAGCACCAGCCCCCTCCCCGTCAGCCACGCCCAGGTGCTGGGCGCACCAGACCCCGTCGGGGGCGTGCAGGGGGTGGCCAGCCCGTGGGCCCCTTCCCTGCATGGGTGTCTGTCCCTTCCTCTCTGAAGCCAATAAAAAACTCTTAAAAAACCCACAGGCTCCTCGGACCAGGTCTGGGAGAGGTTGGAGACCAGCCAGGGTCACTCTGGGGGACTTAAACGCCCAAACGTCAGCAGAGGGGGTCACAGCGGGAGACTCGACAGGGGGGAGGCGGGAGGGCCCATGGACTCCAAGCCCCACTCCCCACCCTAAGGCCAGGCAGAAGCCCCGGACCAGCTGCCCCAGTTCAGCCCCACGACCCCCCCCCAGGGGGACCCCTTGCAGCCCAGCTCCCTGAGCTGGAGGCGGTGGGGGATGGGGGGGCGGGGAACCCCGAGGTGTGCACCCACGTGCAGATCCTTCCCCAGGCCTGGGAGGTGGGGACCCACCCAAGGTCTTCCCTGGGGCTCAGGGACAGAAAATGGGAGCAGAGGCTGGCGGACCCCACCCTCCAAGGGGACTCCTCCTTGGAGGAGACCAGACACAAGGCGAGCGCGCGGCTAGAGGAACACACAGAAGCCAGGGCTGCAGAGCACACACGTCAATTTTTTAAATATATTTTATTGATTTTTTTTTTTTACAGAGGATGGGAGTGGGAGAGTCAGAAACATCGATGGGAGAGAAACATCCAACAAGCTGCCTCCTGCACACCCCACTGGGGATGTGCCCGCAACCAAGGCAATGCCCTTGACCGGAATCAAATCAGTCCCCAGGCCAACGCAGTTACGGCCTTTCTCGCACCACGATGCCCTGCACCCTGCCGGGCCACGCCCCGGGCCCCGATGGCGATGGCGGGGCCTCCAGGGCACACAATGCAGCGAGCTGTTACCGCCAAAAGGGTGCCAGGGGGCTCTGCGAGGACGATGGCAGGCGGTCGTCGCTGGGACGCCCGCACCAGCCCTCGGCGCCCTCAGGCCTGCAGCCCTGTCTCTCCCTCCACCCACACACCCCGCCCGGTGCTCCCCGCAGACGAGGAGGCTCGAAACGGGAGCACTTTCCTGTCTGAGCACGGCGAGTGCCCCCGTTCGGAGCCGCCCCGTCCGGGCTCAGGTCCGGGCCGGACGGCGATGGCAGATGGTCCACGAGAAGGTGCCGGAAGGTGCCACACAGGCCCGGCGCTGACCGCCCCGATGGGCTGGGGGCCCCGGCTGTGCCCCCCGGCGACACTCAAATGGAGCAGCACTTTCCGCCGGGCATCGGAGAGTGACTGCGCATTTGAGTGCCCCCGGCCGGGCCGTGCGGCCCCCGGGCCCTGGGCGGGTGCCGAGCCACCTCCGTCCGCAGCAGCAGCTGGTCCCGACCGGGGGACCTCAAACCGTGGCGGCACTTTGCCCTCGGCACAGAAAGTGCCCCCACAGTTTGAGTGCCCCAGGCTGGGCATCCTGGGTGTCAGCGCCCGACCAACCGACCGACCGACCGACCCACTCCCAGGGCCTGGCCCAGGGGGACCCGCTGGGAACCCAACGCATGCCGCATGCTTCGTCCTGTGCCCTCAGAAGGCACTGGGAGCAGTGGGGCTTTCAGAAAAAGCCTTCTCTTGTGGGGTGACCAGGGTTCCCACCCACAAGGAGCCTGTGGGACGAGGCACCCACCCACGTGGGTGCCGGTCCCGGGGCCCAGGCGGGAGGGAGGGCGGGCAGGAGAATGGGATCTGGGGAGGGCCGGATGAAGAGCCGCCAGTGGGTTCCGAAGCCCGTGGAGTGAGAGCCTCGTGGATGGGGTAAAACCTGCTGCAGGGCCAGCCGACCCTGGTCCTCAGTCTTCAGCTTCTGCCTCTGCCAGGAACCTGGAAGGTGAGGAGTGCGTTGTGGGGAGGGAAAGTAGGAGGAAGGTGGATGGAGGAGGGCCCGGGGGAACGGGGATGGGAGATCCCAGTGATACTCACAGGCCAGAGGCACGTAGTGTGGCAGCTTCTTTCCCCAAGGCCGAGGAGCCGGGCGCCGGGCCCTTAAATAAGGCAGGGAACCCAATCAGCGCCCCCGGCCGGGCCCCGGGGCCAGACCCCTCCCCTCCCTCCCGTCCCCGCCCAGGCCCACCCTGCCCCTCTACCCCCCGACGGGAGCGCCTCCCCATCCGATATGGCCCCGCCGAATCTTTAAACTTTTTCGCTTAAAACGCTTAGCCAGTTTTAAAGATGATCATGTTAAAAAATAAATAAAACATTGGAGTTGGTTGGCGGCCTGGATGGGGTCAATGGGCGGAAAAAGGGGACACGTGTCATCCTTTCTTCAATAAAGAAGGTTTAAAAATCATCCAAAAAATAAGTACATCCTTTTGCTTGATGGTTAAAAAAAATCCGAAAGAAAGAATAATTGAACAAACCCTATGGCTTGGTGGTTTAAAAAAAACACCAAAAATCCCATGTGGCTCGGTCGTTAAAAACAAATCTGTGCTGTTGACGGTGAGGCCGTAAATGCTTTTATCATTCCACCAGAGGGAACTGGTGGGGATCATCATGGCAAAGTGCAGGGGATGGCCCACTCGGACCTCACCTCCCGAGGGAGGGCTAAGGAATCGTGATATTTAAACACTTAGACATCATCATAAAAAAAATATTAAAAAAAGAAAGAAAAATAAATAAATACTTAGACATCAGCGCTGGCTCTATGGACCCGGCAACGGAGAGACCTGGCATTTAGCTACCCTGTTTCCCCGAAAATAAGACCTACCGCATGGAAAGATAAGACATCTCACCTGAAAATAAGACCTAGCGTCACTTTGGGAGAAAAAAAATTAATATAAGACACTGTCTTATTTTCGGGGAAACAGGGTAGGTCTGTTGGGTGACTGGGGCGGGGGTTTTGGGGTCCGGAGCAGACTTTCCATGGGGGAGGTGATTTTTTTTAATTTTATTTCCTGGATGGGAGACCCTGGGGCATTTTTTCCGCCCTCACACGTGCGGGTGGGGGAGGGACGGAGTGCCAGGGGCCAGGGCTGCGGGTTCACACCCAGGAGGTGGGACCCTCCCTGAGATAAAGTGTCTTCCCCAGGGCCTAGGCAGCCATCCCTGCTGAGGTATTAGGTTATAGGGAGGGAAGGGGGGAAATCTAATCTCT